TAATAATAAAGAAATTGTAGTGCCCAAACTCCATTTGGATATATGTTCAAATGCACGTTACAACTCATGCATATGTGTGGCTTAGCTTTATTAGCAACCATACCTTGCCTAGCAACATATATTACTTGCCCACATTTTCAGAAGTTGAGTTTCTTTGCAAAACGTAGGATTAGCCTCTCTTATGATGTGGTTAGCTTCTCGAGTAGGAAGGATGAACCAAATCTTGGACTGTAATTGGGTACCAAAGCAGTTCAGTACCAATGCTGGATGTTGGCTGCGATCTTTTTTTCTGTGTTCATGCATGGACCTCAACTGCATCTTGATTCCTGGTCATGCAAAAGATCTTAGCTGATAATGAGCCATCTTGACCTAGCTGACATTTTGTTAAACACACAAAAACACATGTACATAATTATATATATTGGCCACTCCAGAGTTCCATGTATATCTTTGACAATAAAAGCCATCATTAAAAAAGAACAAAGTTTCAACCCCTCTGAGGTCATTTTCAAGTAAGAAAGATTGAAATGAGTTTATATGGGTGAATTTAAAACATGCTATAGTAACAGGACACTTGAACCGTGAACACATTTTTTGCGTAATTTTTTTAGTGTCTATAGAAGGAGTGTTTCTACACTGTGAGAACACTTATCTTGAACATTATATGAAGAGCTTTGTTTCTATAGTCACCGAAAAAATGTGCAGAAAAATGTCAACTGTTCACAGCTCAAGAAAGCAAGAACAGTCTGTCATTACCAAGCAAAAAACTCTGAAGTAATTTATACAAAGGACTCAATTAAGTCAATAGAAAAAACTTTAAAAAACATCAAATACAGGAAATTTATATATCAATGAAAATACTTTGTGCTATCCAAATAACTTTGTGCAGACTATTTGTTAAGGTATCAGTATACCTCAAATGATCATCATTCATTGGCGCTGCTTAACAGTCGGACTCTTGACACAAACCCCAGTTTAAGTATATATTTTCTGAAAGCTTAAGAAAAGTAGATTACCAAGGTATGTTCATTAAAACAAATTTTTTTTTAAGGTTTTCCAAATATAGCACGCTATTTCCCAAAGTACAGAGGTTCACTAATCAAGTTTGTTTCCGGTCGGATTTGAGCGAGAGGACACGATCAACATCACTTTGTCTTCTTGACGCCTTTCTCTAAAAAAATTCTCTTCACTAAAATAGTCATATAACCTTTGAAAGAAGTAAAACCTATAAATTCCCCAACACTTTTTTTTTTGCCTGCCCGGAAACAAACTCAAAAAGTGCACTTGTCTCAAAGAAATGTTTGTTTTGAGAT